ATATTCATTCTGTTTTTCTATTTTCGCAAAATTTTTCGTTTTTAGCTTCGTAGATAGGTATGTAGCCTTTTGTTTTGTTTTTGGCGTTTTCAATAAGCCCTTGGTTTTCTCAATGCCACGGTTCTTTCCAAGGGTGGAGTATAGTGCGAACCGAGTGGCTCTTCCCAATGATAGATGGCGTGACAACCTTCTTAAGGGTTTGAGTCCGTTTTTTGATTTTTTCTTTTGTTTTTGATATTTCGTAGTTAAGGGTACCTCAGGCAAAGCTTCACTTGGGCCTAACACATTTGCCTTCGATCCCATGATCAAAGACATAATGTTGTGTTTAGGATGGTGAAAGTCGTGGCCTTGAGACTCTTGTGTTGACCAAACAATCATCATGTGGTCTTTTTGGACCATTGTGCGCTGGAATCATAACTGAGGTCGTTGTTGGCCCTCGACTCGATGTCTTTAGCAATCCCCTAGTATGTGTGGTGAGAAATTGAATTGTGAGTCCAAGTCCCGAGCCAATGGTCTAGAACTTGCCCTGAATGTTTGTTGAGGCGAAATCCTAGGTGAAACTTGACTCGAGAAGTGATTATAAGCTCTCCTTGATCCCAATGTTAAGTTGAACAATTCAATGGTCTACCAATGAAATGATCCCTAGTTAACCCTTTCGAGCCTTGAATTTTTTTTTCTTTCAAGAACCAATGTTACAAGCCTATACCCGTTCTAAAAGATACCTCTCTTGGCACCCAAAATCTTCCCTTGAGTAATGGCAAATGTCTATGTTTGGGGGAGGAGAGACAAGAAAGGAAGCAAAAGTGGTAAAAGGTACGAAAGCAAAAGAAAAAGGGAAGCAATGAAAAAGAAAGAAAAGAAAAAGACAAAAAGAAAGAACAATGTGAAAAAGAATAAAAAGGGGATACAAGGGAAACAAAAGTGAAAAAGGCGTAGAAAAACTAGAAAAAAGAGAAATGATTTGAATTGCATAAGAAAGAGTTATAATGTGTCCCTCTAATCCCTTGAAAAGAAGTGAAATACTCAAATGTGTCAAGAAAGTGTGCCAAAATGAATCAAAGAAAGTGCTTAAGGGAAGATTGAACCCATTTGAATAAAAACATGTCCTACCCTTACCTAAAAGCTACAATGAATCCACAAAAGCCCTATATAATCTTGAATTGAAGGAAACCTACCACTACAAGAAAAAGGGCCTATAGCGAGGGGAAAAGCGGTCGTTAGAAGTCCAAATCCGGTCGTTATAAGCTTGTAGTGACCGGAGAAAATCCGGTCGTCACCGGTCGTTAAAAGCCTTGACGTTAAAAGTTAACGACCGAACTGTAAGTCGGTCGTTAAAGATCTTTTAGCGACAACTTAAACTCCGGTCGTTGTATGTCTTTTTAGCGACAAATTTTCCTTTCGCTAAATTGTCATTCCGGTCGTTAAAAATTTTTATGGGAGAAACAAATTTGGTCGTTACAGGTACTTTTAATGCCCAAATTTCCCTTCGCTAATGAGAAGTCTTACTAAATATAATTATTAAACTTTATTTTACTGAATATAAAATAATTATTTTATATGCTTTCATATACATACGACACAATCAAAACTACATTAAATAATCAATATTCATATTAAACTTCATCATTGATACAAAGAAGTAAACGATAATAAAACCGTCCAAATTGTATGACAACATTTTAATAAGTCCTAAAAAGTGAAAAAAATGCATTCAATGTACATAAAACGTCTTTAAACCACCACAACAAAATAAATTTCTTGTATTTCAACTTTTTACTCTGCACTTTTTGAATGATTGATACTTCGAACTTCCAAATTCTTGATCTGCTACACTTTACTCGTGTATGACTTGTATTAGAACTACTAGATAATTTTGTTGCAGTCAAAAGAAATCTTTATTTGCAAAATTGCAACTAAAGATTATCACCAGATGATATCTCATGCTCAATTTTAGGTAAGCCTTCACGGTACTTTGACTTTACCAAACATGATCCTTGCAGCTTGTTGGATTATGCCTTCAACATCACCATAACTTGAGCAACCTTGAAAGTTTAACTTTTGTTGAGAATCGAAGAAAACCTAGTATAACCTGAAAGAAACTGTTACGAAGAAGCAAATACCTCTCCATTAGAATTGGACTCTATGCGGTTACTGAGATGTAAATCTTCTAATATGATGTAATATATGTATCGTAAAAAACGTACAGCACTTAAAGACTTGAATCACAATTAGGTGATATGTTACTACAGTTAGCTGATGTATGAAAGGGTAAAGTTATATTAAGTACATAAAGTGTTTAGTAAGCAGTACATAAAGAATCGCACAATCAAGTGCTTTCACAGTGCAATCAAGTGTTTAGTAAGCAGCCCTCTTTGTGTTCATCAGTATATAAAGAATTACACAATTTCTTTTGCAATGAACTGTCTAAGGAACTGTTAAATCTGATTCAAGCTATGAAAAATAGGTGATTAGCCCATTCATATTTGTTGGAAGAGAAAAAATAGCTCATTCATCATCATCGGAAAAGAAAAAAGAGCTCATTCAATATTTAAAGGAGCGCAAATTGTTAATTTAGTTTGTAAAAGAGCTGCTGAATCTGATATGATAGGCAAAATGTGGAAAATAGGAAGCAAATATAAAGTTCTCCAGAAATAGCATGCAATACTCCACTCCCATCAAGTATAACGTTTTCGGTTCAATTAACAAAACACAACTAAAAAACTAAAAGACAACTAAAAACTATGAAAAAATTTAAATCAATTAACTCAAGATGACGGCAAGCCATTGTTATATTACTGATAGTAGGCACTCTTCAGTTTACTCATGAATTTTTCTAAAGTAATTCTTCGAGCTTTAATTAATCCACTTCAGATTATATCCTACTTCTGCTCTTCCTCTTCTTATTGGTTTTACTTTACTGAACGTGATGAATATGCATTACTTTATAGTTCTCAATCTTTCTTCAATGTCACTCAAAACATTCTTCAGAGATCTACGTCAACAGAAATATTAAGCACAAAAGTATTTTATTCCATTACAAATGATCCCAAAAAAAAGAGTATTTTATTCAATTATATGACAAGAAGTATCATAGAGATCAAATGCAGCAACTTAGAAAAAGTAAAGAATTATATGTGGAACAACTTACTCATTTGGTCAGGATTCTTCTTCAATATACCCACTTCTCTCACTTTCTTCCTCTCTTTCTTGTTCTGGGAAAAATTAAAAAATAAAAATAAATAAATTCTACATAAACTCCACCTAATAACTTGTTACGGGATATTCAAACAAATAGCTCTTCGTAAGAACCATCCTTCAATTTTTCTTTTGTTTCAAACAGATGTCTCATAAGACTCAAAGTTTGTCTGCGTTAGGCTTGAAGTTTATGTCCACAAAAGCATATAACCAAAACAATTAATCTGAACCAACCTCTTTTCCTAATTTTCTTTTGTATCATATTACAGATGATAAACGTATAGCCACTGCTAGATAATCGATCTTTCCTATCAGAGATTTAATCTCATAATTTCATAGGAGTCCTATAATAAGGATAAAGTATATGAAGCCATTCAATATTTAAGACATTTAGAATGAGGATACATGAACATATATCTATAACAGTTCAAGTGCAAGAAAAAGGTCAATTAATATAAAGCAATCTACATGAGATTATCATCTCTTTTCTATAAATAGACTATATTACGACAGTATAAACAAAAGCTCCAATTATTTACAATAAAATGAATAAAAGTGAATCAAAGAGAGAAAATATCTTAACAATAAAAGATTACCCATCTTCTGTTGAGATTATTTATGACTAAATTCCATATGCTTTCCGAAGCAGACATTCTTTGCTGAAAATCCATTGAGCAAATCTGAAGCATAAGAATACCTTGGATGATCAGTTTAAATAAATTAAACACTTTGAGACATAACTTCTTAATTCCAAAACAACATGAGAGACATAAATTTCTTCTAATACTTTAACTATATGACAAGGGTATCACTATTTCTATTTGGATTTACGAAGCAGCAATTACTTGGCAACAAAAGTATATAATATGGTATTATCTCTTTAAATCTGAAGTTTTGAACAGCAGAGCTTAAAACTTTGTTTGGAAAATTATAGGTTATTCCAACATGAGTTTCAGGTTTGGAAAATTATAGGTTATTCCAACATGAGTTTCAGGTAAAGAATTTTAACTCACTCGTTCAGTTATATGCCTCCAAGAATCCAGCATCACAAGTAATAGCTCTCCTGTAGTTAAGTATTGCCATTTCCGTATTTCCTTGCTCATAGTACCCACTAGCTAAGTTGCCTGCAGAGAGGAGATCCAGGAGTTAATGTGTTATTTGGGTGTCCAAGCCGCACTGAAGGAAAAAATTAAAATTGCACTGAAGATGAAAACAGTGTCTTTCATATTGCAATAAATCCTGCACACAAACATCTTGATTAAAGATGTGCGCTGTTTAAACAGTCTCCCAGAGACAGGCAGCTTTATATATGCATCATGAACTGAATTTAAGGCATGACTCCACGCTATTTAGCACGAGATTTTGAGTCTCGCGTGTCTACCATTTTACCACCAAGGCATCTTGAAAGTGAATCATATTCCATGAATATGATATCTATCTACTAAAACCAGGGCACTCACCAAAAGCCATGGCATAGTCTGGTCGTACTTGGAGCGTACGCTGATAACACACAATGGCCTCCTGAGGCATTCCCAAAGCCTGGAAAATGCAAAGAAGATGCTTGTATTTCTCTATATCCTCGTCCAGGCACTTGAAGCCACTAGACCCAATTAGCACAATGCATGAGGCTTACCTTGTATACATTTCCCAGATTCAGATACTTATCTGAGAAGTTCAGTTTTAGTTTGAGTGCTTCCTGGAGGAGATTTAACCACAAAAAGAGCATCAAACATGATTGCATTCAGATGCAAAACAAATCCAACACCATGATCAGTAAATTTAAGTACACTATGATTTAAAGTTAATCATACCTTGTAGTACTGCAAAGCCCTGTTAAGATTACCTGTCTCCATAAAAAGGCCAGCAAGATTGGACCAAGCGATGGAAAATGTAGGTTGTATACGCAATGCTTCAACATAACAATTGTACGCCTAACCAAAAACAAAAAAGAAATACTCAAGAGACAAGGAACTCAACAACATATATCTATCGAGAAAAGGGGAGAACATGACACACAAAATCATAATAACGAAATACGGCAATAGTCAATAAAATAAGCACACAGAATTTTCACAAAGCTGCACAAAGCAAGTTGAAATCCGAAATAAAAGAAGAACGCTGGACCATATGCTGCACCAACTCAGGTACAATAGGCAAACTATGTATAGCATTGAAGAACCCCCACCCCCTGCCCAGCCCCACCCCTACAACACCCCCACCATCCTAAAGGCAATCATGAACTTAAATAGCCCATCTCAGGCAACAAAATAGAAGAGCAAAAAGTGGATTGAAATCCTCTGTCTTACCTCTTGGACTAGACCTTGTGCTTTCATCAGATTGCCGAGATTGCTGTGAGCATCAACCTAAAAGAATCATAGTCAGTAAAGAAAGTACAATTGCAAGACGCACATAACTAAACTTTTATGAAGTTCAATTTTTTAGTACCAGACGTGCGAGAGCCTGAAGGCAACACTGGTCTGCCTCATTCAGCCTTCCTTTCCTCATATATGCGCTGGCTAAATTCGACCATGCATCCGCAATATTGGGACAGAGCTGCAACCAGACAATTTAAAGTCAAATTACCTAGCATAAACCTGGCCAACCATAAAAACCTTATAGGAGAAAGCTTAACCACATAAAAGGTTTTAGTTATTCAAAGATAATGAAAAGACAGAATGCAGAGAAATGGATATTTTAAAAAATTGCAACTTTTTGAAAGAACACAAACTTGAGAGATGAAAGGAATTATAAGCAATAAGCTCCAAGGATGGTAAATAAACTCAAGTGAATTAGACCTACAACCCCATTGTGACCTCCAAAACTGCCCGCATAACCTCAACCAAAAAGTTCTTTCAATACCCAACATAAAAGTAAAGGCAAGGATAACTGTCTAAGCTAGACATATGTTCCTTTACAAAGTTATCTATTCACAATTTCAACCTGCATTCTTCTACATCATAGATTCATAAGTTATCACATGGTACCATTTAATTTCTTAAATGAATGATGTTGGTTACTCTATTCCAGATCACATATAAGCATTTGCTTGTAGTAAGAGACATAATTCTTTACTAGATCAATAATACATATGTTATTAAGATCGATGTGCCTTACGTCGTCGAGGGCATGATGTACAAATAGCACATCCGGTCACCTAAATTTGCGGGACTGCGATAACATCAGATCACAAATAAGATTTTCATCACTTATGATTTTCCATCACTCACATTTAATTCAATATGATATGATCTCGTACTGTTCAAGGCAAATTTTTTTTATCACAGTCCCACAAATCTAGGTGATTGGATGTAATAGTACATCACGTCCTCTTAAAATTATAAAATTAAAAAATAACCTTTTTAGATCTCTTATATGTAAAATAAATCTCTCTTACGTGTAAAAGTAAATATCATTTTGTAAAAACACATGTTTATAAAGAACCACAAAATAAATTGACCCGGAAGTGCGCAATTTTTAGACAAAGGGATCAAACACCATGTGTTGATTAACTAGGGGTATTGGACACCTACATAAAAATCAGCTGAAAATGTCAAGACAGGTCGATGAATAATAACTTACAATCAAAAACAATCATTCACCTATCCTCACATTTCCTTGACCACCCAACTTGGATTTTACACCTACCAACCACCCTTCTCCCTCCAGTCTCTCTCTTGTGCGTCTCCACGTTCAAACCATGGGTGAGTCTTGACATTCACTTGCACTTGTTCAACTAATAAATTTTCATCGAGAGTACCATGAATGGATACGCTTAAGACTTACGACTTAATCACAACTCCAACAAACACCTTTAATCCAGTAATCTAACTTCTATATAAATAGCAGTTTATGTTCTCTTGGTTTATCTACAAAATCATGTTGACTTCCTTTCTATTACGAGCGGTCAAAAGGAAACTCTGTGTCATTTTCAGTCACTTTGAAGGGATGAGGGTGCTGGCCAGAGCAATAGAGATTCCACCTTAAAGTATGAACGTTCCAGATTCCTCACCTGAAAAATGCAAAGAGAAAAAATGAGCAGTGTTTAGGCATCCATGTCACTCAAAACACCAGAAAGAAGAAGTAAATTTGATGTATTCGATCACTCACCCTGCGTGCTGTATCAAATAAAGGGCAGCTCATGTGCACAACCTTGAGTCTATTTGTGAGATCTTGGAGCTTTGGACATAGTGCCAATGACACTTCCTTCTCCATATATTCGTTCATACTGCAAAATGTAAAGTAAATCGAATATTGGACAACAATTCTTTATAAGAGATTGTGAAAAATTAAACAAAGTATAAAAAGCCATCACAAGATTTGTTGCTACAAGTTGTGAACTGAAAACATAACAATTCAGTGAAGCAAAAACTCAAACACCAAGCTGATATCTAAAACCCAATAGATATACCATTATATGGTAACACCCAAAAGAATGCAAATCACTATTAAGCTTTGATCGTCAAAACCATTGCCTAATTTTCACGCATTGAGATTTATCCTTCTAAGGCTCTAAATTTTTTAGAACCCAACTGGAGAACCACTGAATCTTTTACTCAATACAAAGAAAAACAGAAGTCATGCCATGAAGGAGAAAGCAAGGGAAAAACACAAATGAAAAGCAGTAGAATAGATTGATAGAGATGATGATATGGTGATTACACATTAAAACTGACCATTCGGCAAATTCATATTTCTTAAGCCCAGATTAAAATAATTAAAAAATTCTTAAGCCCAAATTAAGATAATTGATATCGATCGTACAATAAATTCTTGATTCTAAACCGACCATGCCACAATTCTTGAACACCAACATCACCAAAGTGAAAACTAAATCTCAACCCTATTAATTTGAACCACAATTAATATATAAAAAAGATAAATTTTCAAATCTTACCTTGATGAGAAGAAACTCTAAGATGAGCAAATGTCAGCGGAGGTGAAAAAGGATTTTCTCTCCTCACACAAATTTTTGATAGCAGTTTTAGGTTTTGATCAGCAGTAGACTAAGGGTCTTTTTGCAGGGGGAATTGGGCGGGCATAGGGTGAGTTTGGGAAAAAAAGAGGGAAAGTATAGCGCCTATTTTTTTATTGATTAATTATAATTTTTATGACCGGATTATGTTTTATAAGGATAGAACGTTATTATTTCGTTAATGTCAAATTAAAAATTATCTTTAACGACTGGAAAAAAGGTTGGTCGCTATAAATACGTCTATAACGACCGGATTCACGTCCCTTCGTTAAAAAATAGTCGTTAAAAAGCAAATTTCTTGTAGTGTACATTAGTGGATACTTACATAAGGGGCAAGCATATGGTACCTACGGACTTGTAACATTCTTCTTGAGAGAGATGAGTGGAAGTCCATCAACCTCGGTTAGTGTGTCAATACTCTAAAAGGTGAGCTTCGCTTAGGGAGAGTTGATGATGTGTGAGTTTGGGTTCCACAATGACCAAGGTATTTGAGAAAAGTTCTTTGATAAAATGTGTCAACCCTTGACGCTCTTGTGTCACACTTGATCCATAGTTTTCTAAGTTTAAGATGTGTTAATGATGCATTCGTATTGAGGGCAATTGTTAGTCCCAATTGATGCTTGTTGAGGTTACTTTAGGATAGGTGGAATCACTTGGATGTTGCTTTAAGGGGTGGGTTTTATTTTGTTTGCTTGAGGACAAGCAAAGGTTTAAGTTTGGGGGAGTTGATAAGTAGGATTTTAACGTATTTTTTGACCCTACTTGCCTATGCTTTGAGTATAATTTGATACAAAATAATCCCAAAATGCTCACAGGTTGTGCTTGATTGCAGGTTTGACCAACAAAGTGACTAAAATGTCAAAGATCGGCTCAAAACGGAGTGAAACCTGCTCAAGCATCAAAGGCCAAGTAAAGTGATGGAAAAAGAGCCTAGTGCGGACCGCACAAAAGTGCACGCGGCCGCACTAGAAGATTCAGAGAAGTGAAAATTCAGAACTTTCACCATGCGGCCGCGGTTGGATTTATGCGGCCCGCGTTCAGCTCACGCGGCCGCACCACCTAATCATGCGGCCCGCGTTGGAGAGATTTAGAAGATGCAACTTGGGACCAGTACAAGCCACGCGGCCGCGTCCCTAATTGTGCGGTCCGCGCCAGATATCCTACGGCCGCGCTACACTTTTGCGCGACCCGATGTCCTCAACTTCAGAGAGTCAAAATTCAAGAGTTCAAGAGCTCGCGCGGCCGCGCTACCTTTTTGTGCGGCCCGCGCTGACCCCGCAGGGGTATTTTTGTCCAAGTTTTCCAGCCACTATAAATAGATCCTTTTTCCATTTTTAGGTTAAGTTTTTTATATTTGAGGCTGCTGAGCTCGTAAGAATACTGGGTTTAGCCATTTCTGGCATTTTTGATCTTTAATATTGTATTTCTTCCTTAGTAATCAATTAATATGTTTGCTTCTTCATCTATTTCATTAATTTTTGCATCTAGCATGAGTAGCTAAACTCACTAGCTAGGGTTGTGGCTCAACCCTAGTGTGGGTAATTGATGGGTGTTGCCATCTAAGGATAGATTGATGTTGGGTGTTTGCTATTTGGGTTAATTTTAGGTTTTAATTAAGGATTGGTGGTTGCAAACACTGATTCTAGCTTGGTGGGTTTAACTCTTCTTGAGAAAGAGAGTCTATGACCCCAAGATTGACCCAACAAGGAATTGGGATGGACCCATGAGAAATGGTAGTCCCAATTAACGGGTTAAACCTCGAGAGTGTAATTACCCTACTTGAACCCTAGTTGCTTGGTCTAATTAGCCTACCCAATTGGTCTCGAGAGAGTCAATTGGGCAAAATCACTCTCTTTACCGAGAGGTGTGAGAGTGGGTACAATTGAACAACGGTTATAGCATAAGCCCCAAATATGTCAATTTACCCTTAGTAGCATTTACCCGTTAATTAGCCACCTAGGCAATGCCACGACCCTAGTGCCTTTCTCTATATTAATTACAACTTAGCAATATCTCCGTAGCATAATTTAGCTTCAAACATTAGTCTTATAGTAGTAGATATAAGAATCAAAACCAAGGATGTTAGAAGTGACATTAGAAGCACAACTGCAATTTTAGACTAAACAGACAATACAACTCCATTACTAGCTCCCTGTGGAAATTCGATCCCGAACCACTATTCGGGCAAAAACTGTTGCAATCCGCTCTTCCTACCTTTGTGTAGTGTTGAGTCGGCAGCGATCAGCGACGAGGAAATCGGACGTTTTCAAGATAAAATAGAGGAACGATAAGATGTTGAGGGAGTTCGTGTCTAGGTTTCAGATGGATCGAATGGAATTACCACCGGTCTCAGATCACTGGGTAGTACAAGCTTTTATGCAGGGTTTGAATGAAAGCAGTTTGATTGCGTCTCGATAATTAAAGCAGAATCTGATCGAGTATCCAGCAGTGACGTGGTCAGACGTGCATAATCTTTATCAATCAAAGATCAGGGTCGAGGACGACCAGTTGGGAGCCCCCTCGGGTTCAGTTCATCCTAATAGATTGGCGGCCAAGCCCCCGAGGGATACAGATAGGGAATCGAGGTCAAACAAGGAACAGTATCAGCCGTATGTCGATCGGAGAAACACCGGCTCAGGGTGTAACGCTCCTCAGAATGATCGGAGAAATGATCGAGGTCAAAGCTCTCGGGGACTCATGAGTAAGAATGGGTTCGATAAACATCCCAACCCCGCGGAGGCACCTCGATTGTCGGAGTATAATTTAGGTGTAGATGCAACGGGGATTGTGTCAGCTATTGGAGGAATCAAAGATACCAGGTGGCCCAGGCCTATACAAACTGATCCTTCTCAAAATAGTTCAAACTTGATGTGCAAGTATCATGGCACACATGACCATAGAACCGAAGACTGCAGGAAGGTAAGGGAGGAGGTAGCTCGTTTGTTCAACGAGGGTCACCTTCGAGAATTTCTCAGCGAGCGAGCTAAGAATCATTTCTCAGCGAGCGAGCTAAGAATCCACTACCTGCATTACATGCTGTGGTTCTTTTAAGTAAAATTCACGTTAAACATGTTCTAGTGGATCCAGGTAGCTCAGCAAACATAATCAGATCGAGGGTCGTAGAACAGCTCGGCCTACAGGATTAGATTGTACCTGCATCTCGGGTCCTAAATGGCTTCAACATGGCAAGCGAAACAACAAAGGGAGAGATAATCCTACCAGTAAATGTAGCCGGGACCATAAAAGATACAAAATTCCATGTCAAGGAAGGTGACATGAGGTATAATGCACTCCTCGGAAGGCCATGGATACACGACATGAGGGCGGTACCTTCAACTCTTCATCAGATGATGAAGTTCCCAACGGAGGATGGTGTTAAAATGATATACGGAGAATAACACACTGCAAAGGAAATGTTTGCAGTCAATGAAGTGACGTCCATACCGGAACCTTCAACCTCAGAAAAGTCGAACACCAAAGGTAAGAAGGCAGCCAAATAGCAATCACCGATCCCAGCCCCAATCGAGCCAGAGGAACAGGTGATCGAAGATGAAGAAGAGGATTTCCTTACTCCTCGAACTTTCGTCGTTCCCAAAGAGTCCGATACATCCAAGTCAACGGTCGAGGAGCTGGAGCAGGTCATACTGATCGAGTACATTCGAGAGAAAGGTATACCTGGGAACAGGATTAACCCCCGAACTTAGGAAAACACTCATTCAATTTCTTATTGACAATATGGATTGCTTTGCTTGGTCCCATTTAGATATGATAGGGATCACATCGGAAATAACAACACACCGGTTAAGCCTCGACCCCAGGTTCAAATCGGTAAAGCAAAAAAGGAGGCCCCAGTCCAAGGTGAAACATGCATTCATAAAGGACGAGGTAACTAAACTTCTTAAAATAGGGTCTATTCGGGAGGTAAAATACCCCGAATGGTTAGCCAACGTAGTTGTAGTTCCTAATAAAGGAAATAAACTTAGAATGTGCGCAGATTACAAGGATTTAAACAAATCACGCCCGAAAGATTCTTTCCTATTGTCTAACATTGATCGTATGATCGACGCCACGGCCGGCCATGAGATCCTAACTTTTCTCGACGCCTACTCCGGGTACAATCAAATTCAGATGAACCCGGAGGACCAGGAAAAGACCTCGTTTATCACTAAATTTGGAACTTATTGTTACAACGTAATGCCCTTCGGGCTAAAAAATGCAGGAGCTACATACCAACGCCTAG